GCCTAAAAATAGACCGGTCTGTAGAAATGCCGTGACAAAGTATGGGAGTATGGGAGTTGCACACTTCTAGTGATGGGCTCCTGGCAAAATATATTAATCAACTACTTCTTTGTTTGTTTTTCGTTCTTCATTAACTAAAACTGGCTCTTCAAACGCCCTTTTTTGTAAGAATATTGTTATTCCGGCCGAGGCGGAATATTCTTGTGAATATTCTTAGATTATAGCGTATGATATGATATTTCTGTTTTCGAATGTATTTGGTGTCTGGATGGTGTTCAAACGGTAACTTTGGAGCCAGCCTGCAGGCATTAGCCTGATATGACGCACATAACTTCTTGTAGAAATGTTACTAGCATCGAACATACTTCTAATGCTGTTTTCGTTGTTTTTTGGCTAGTTTTACCGTTTAGAGAAAGGAAGAATTTTATACGGTTTAGTTCCAGTTAAGCGATGGTCAACACACAAAATTATATTCTTTTCAAATCTGAGCCTCGAGTTTATTCTTAAAACAGTCTTAAAATTTCGCAAGTATCAGCCTCGATATGTTACGGTCTTTGGACTCTGAAACCCTTCGCCTACACTAGACCATGATCATGAGCCCAGAGGACTGACATAAGGCGCGTGATCGTAGTCCTACCATTTCCATCCCATGTGAGAATTGCTGAATTTTTTTCCGCGCTCCTTATATTAGCTGATGCATTCCTTTGTGTTGGTCTTTTTTCTGTCGTTTTTTCGTCCCGAATGAATTTTTTAAACTTGAATTGCAGGCTGATGTGTTGGTCAGTTCAGTCGGAGCTTCCAGTCAAGCGATGGTCAATGTTGATGTTCTTGCAATGGCAAATCCAAACGTTGGGGACATTATTGTCAATTCTGGTTTACCTTTGACCAACCACGTGATCCACACAAACTGTTGTCAGTGGCAAGGTGGCCAAGGGGAAGTGGTAAGTACATTTGCAGTGTATAATTTTCAGGCAATGCGCAACATTACCTCTCAATCAAAGATAAATAACGTGAAGTAAAAAACACTTTCATTTCCTTGTTTCCAGCGAGTTATGGAAACACGAGTAGACGGGTGGGAGAATGAGGGACACGACCTGCAGGCGAGTGTTTCCAAAGCTTTCTTGGATTCTTCCAATCTTTCAGGGTAGTTAAAGATGATTTCCAGTTCGTACTGCGCAGTCTCAGCACCCTAATGTTTATAAACATTATAAATCTCACTCGATGGAATTCGAATCGATGTTATTCGTTACGAACCGCATGCCTATCTTTGAGGCCTTTCAAGTTCTTTTTCCAACAGCGTCATGGATTTTTACGGCTGCGAAGTTGTTTCAACAAGTGACATGAGAAAGAACATAGTATAAAGCTTCGACCGCTTCGCATCCATAATGGCGGTTGTTTTGAAACTTTGAATTTACTTCGTGTAAGT